ATCTCCCCAAAACCCCAAAACCCCAAAACCCCTAAATTCATACAAATATTGAAAATTATAAAATGTCTATCTACTCAAGTAGCCAGAAGGTATGTACAAGTTCTATAATCTAGACTGGAAGTAACCTCCACCCAGACAACGAGCTCGGTTTTTCATTCTCTTTCAATAGCATCAATAACGAACTTAATTTCACACGAAAAAGTAACGGAATCCTCTAAGCACAGATGCCAGGAGTGGGAAATCTAAGAAGCCTAATCAGAAGAACTTATCGTTTGTATTCAAAGGTACCTTATGCTCTCAGCTGCTGTGAAATTATTCTCAAAGTTATTGAAAATTCTGTGAGGATCTCTCATTTCTCTATCCCGACTCCTCAAAATTATATTCCAAAGCTAATTTCAAAAATAGAGTTCCAGAAAGGCTTCAAAGTTAAGAAACAAAGAAAGGGTCATTACAAGCAAAAGCGAGATAACTCAAAAGTTGTTCCAAAGAAAGGTATAATGAAGAAAATAAATTACTACATGACTCCGTACATGAATGACCTGACCTTCAAATAAGTATATGGATTTTCAGACTCCAAACCTAAAGGATTCTTATGAGTATAACTCGCAGAGATCATTCCGCAGAATAGTCTGGGACCACAGAGGGAGAAGGGCTATCCAACCCTACAAGCTCAACAACCTCTCGCCAGGTTTGGCCCTGAGTAAATTATAGGCTGGGTTAACCTGACTGATTTCATACTTAATGAGAAAAGAGATATTTTTCGAGCCTCTGTTAACTCTATCAACCAAAGGATCACTTCTGGCATCACCCAAGTCCAAAATAAGTAACTACAACTGTTGAAGAAGTTTAGAGACAAGAAGGAAAAAGATAAAGCGGATACAACATCTTCTGACTCTTCAAGTATCTCCTTCCGGCTGAATTCGCTCAAAAGGAGAAATTCAATCAAGAAGGTATCTTGGCGTTTTAAGGATAACTTTAGAAATAAATTCAGAAAACATAAGCATAAAAGTAGACTACATAATCCGCCCTCAAGGTATACTCCCTCTAGACATTTCTAGGCTGAGTCATCATACCGGCAAACCTCAGAGACCGACTTTGTTAAACCTACAGATCTGAAGAACAGATAAAGAAACTACAATGAGCGATAGATATAACAGCTTCCTCAGAAAAATAAAACCAAACAGTATTCTTAGTAATATTCCTATCCTGGAAGAAGCTAAAGAGAAGGAGTCATCAAATGTCCTCAACTTATTCAAGTAAGTACACTCCAGATAAGGAGGGATAATGTTTAGGAGACAAAATACTCTTGGCAAAAACCACATCCCAATCTCAGATACAGACTCTGCTTCCTTCCTTAACGAGTCTGATGAGAGGACTCCTGTACTCCACGCTCCTCTACTAAAAGATTCTTGAGGTATTACTCTACTTTGACTTTTAGAAAGGCTCAAAAAGTTGAGGATAACACAGTTTTCGCCAATAGAAATCTCCTCTGGCCGAAAATACAAAGATGAGCCTACTGGTACAACCACAGGTCTTGAGCAAAGCAACAAGAATATCTTATCTCTCAGTCCCAAGTGCGCTGACTACCTAATCTTCTAGAGTTCCAGTTGGCTTGAAAATATCAGACTCAAACATTACAGAAATTGCAAGGAGAGTTTACTCCAAAGCTAAGAACAGCAGTAGAGTAATCAACAAGGATCTGTGAATGAACACTTGGAAAAATTTCAACTTTCAATTAAGTAGGGATAATGTCAAAAGTGATATGGCTATCTCGCCTTCAAGAATAGACCTGAGAGGCAAAAAGCAGTCCATCACAAAGCTTAATGAACTAAAGTCGCCTAAGAGACAAACTCCTGCAATAAAAGTCAAAGATCTGATTCCTGAAAAGGAATCAATAATAGATAAAATCTTGAAATCAGATCGAATTGGTACATATCCAAACTCAAATTTAGGGGAAAGAATGAGACAGATTAAGCATATTACACGAATTGATAATCATCGGAGAAATCTAGGCTGTCATAGCCAAGCAGAGATACGAAAAATCAATAGTTCAAATGGTAAGGCAAAGAGTGACTCTTGTAGAGTTGCAAGCTATGATTAACATTCAAGCTCCTGATATCAAATTGTAAGTGTAACAAAAATATTCTAGCCCAAATCCGCAGAGATACCAATCTTCTGATATGATTTCACTAAAAAGTCGACCTAAGAAACTGAAAAAGTAAAAATTATGCTGATTCCTAGGACCCAAGTATCTCCAGAATCAAATCTTATATGCCGATTTGCGAACTGTCAGTCACCAAATGGGGTTCTCTATCCATTAAGTCCAAGGTATCTCCTCACTCTCACCTCTAGCATCAACCTTGCCAAGAGCAGACGTTGTGTAAAAAGTGTTGGAAATCTCACAATGTTATTCGTTTAACCCAAAATTTAGATTTCAATATCTAATCTAAATCTCGGGGTTTTGGGGTTTTGGGGTTTTGGGG